ACAGTTATAATAAAAATAACAGTTATAATAAATATGTTATAATAAATGTTATAATAAATACAACAACAGTTATAATAAATACAACAACAGTTATATTTATTATAACTGTTGTTGTATTTATTATAACAACAGTTATAACAAATATAACAACAGTTATAACAAATATAACAACAGTTATAATAAATGTCAGAGAGCAGAGTGTTTTTGTGCTGCTCAGCCTTTCTCAGCTTGTAGGAGCAGAACTAATAAACTCCAAAGAGACGTTGGTGTGTTCTCCAGTTTGGACCAACTGTCATGCAGACGCTGCATGCATGATGAGGGTTGATCAGGGTTGCCAGATAAATGTAAAATGTTTTATTTACCCCCTCCTTTTCTGTGCACATGTTCAACAAACAACACACACCTCATCTTAGAATATCTTTATTCAGCACATAGGACAGTTTAGGTCAAAATACTATAATTTTAAAGTGACAGTACTATAGTTCATTATTACTTATCTGGCAACCCGACTGACATGGATACTACAGCGTTTTTGTTTAAACTCGCTCATTTTAAACATTGAAAAAACACTAATGTTTCCAGAAGTTCTCGTGTAAAATTAGGGTCTTATAGCAGGTGGATCACTTTGACTTGGTCTTATTAAAAGGAGCTCCATGATGAAAACATCTGGACACCCCTGCTTTAGACCTTTCTCTGCTCAGATAGACCTGATTCAACGGTTGAATCACCTCTCCATGTTCTGCAGAAGCCTGACGATCACCCACCGATTCAAACCTGGTGTGTTGGAGCAGAGGAACAAGTAAAACCTGCACGATGGTGGACTTGGAGGACCAGGATCGGACACCTTGTTCTAGACATCTCAGTCACCCTCGTCTGAACACTCAACTGCACGTCTAACGAGGTCTGAATAAAGAGTGCACTTTTGTTTAGAGCGCTTCACAGATAAATGTGTGGTCTGGATACAAACGTTAATCACAGCAGACGTCGCTCCTCGGTGTCTTTGCTGGAAAAGCTCATTCTGCAGCACACTTTTTCTGTTTTTAATCAAATGCACAATAAACGTTTATTACAGTAAAATAAGGCAGATGCCACGAGTTTTCAGACTGCAAGCGTGACTCAACGTGACGCTTTGGAGAACAATCCACTGAGAGACGTAGCACCTACCAAGATGGCCTCCACAACTCTCACCTACCCATTCCAGGGTATTTACGTTTCAGATGAAGCGTCTTCTCACCCCAAAAAAACCCATCATGGCCACTTTTTTAAACATTAAAAACAAACTAATTGGAGCAAAATAACTGCACACACGACTTCAACTTCTGCATTTTGTTCCAGTGTCTAGTGTCGTCTACAAACTTTAGAGATTATGTGCTTGAATTAATTTAGAAGAAAGAAAAACTTGGATTTTTAAGATGCACGTGAGTTTACAACCAGTTTGTAAAATCTTAAAATCACCACCAAGATTTTAAATTAAATTTTAATAATAAAACACCAGAAAATAGTTTGAGCACGAGCAGAGATGCTTTACATTCAAAAATACATCCAAAGGAGCTGCAGTAAACCTTTTTCTTTTGTTTTTAAATGAATTTGTGCAACTTTTCCCAACCAATAACACAGATTCCCAGCAACAAACCTTAAACTGGGTGAACAATGTGCAACTATTTACTTTTAACACAAGACTTGGGGGTGAATGCAAATATGCTGATCATAAATGTTGATATGGTCTAAAGAGCTGCACTGCACAGAAAGCTTCAAAAATCCATAAATGCATAATTTGATTTATTTGCACCCTGGCTGATCATAACAGGATGCAAAAATAAATTTGCACCAATATTTCAGCCGTTCTTTGGGACCAAAATCCCACTTCAGAACATGCAGTACTTTTCTGTTGCCATCCTGCCTGGCCAGACAGCCTGACGTTTGTGGTGACGCAGAA